ATAACATGTATGCTTAAAACCCTAATTTTATTTTAGTGTTAAATGCTGTTTAAAGTAACAGATTATATTTAAAAATGTCTCCAGAGCTTTACTAGCTGGTGATTTTCTTTATTTGGACCCTGCTGATTTTTAATTGGTTACCCCTGAAATAGACCATTTCTCTGGATGTTTGGACCCACTATGATAGCCTCTGTGACGGCTAAGGGACCATGTGTAGCATAGATACAGTAGTCATTCAAAATTTCTTCACTTTCCTTGATGGGTCCTTGGTTGGTCCTCGGCTGGTCCCCTACAATACCCTTTTAAACATCAATCTTTGCACTAAAATATTCTTGATTCATGATTTATGGACATTAAGATCTAAAGATAAGCATTATCTCCTGGTCAGACCCTGTAATTCTGTGAAAAAGTGGAGTCGGAGTAAAAAAAAAATATGCAAGGGGGGGCTCACTCCAATGGCTGGAAGTTTGAGGGGATATTGCTGGGAGTTGCAGGAAAATGGGCTACCATTCGGCTGCCATTTGTTTAAAGGGCCATTTTGAATGGCTGCTACAATATGTTCATCCTGACGGCTGCTGCTGGAGTTATAAAAATGTGTGTCATTGTGAAATTTGAATAGGGATAAAGTTGGAAAACTAAGCCCTAGTGGTGGATGTTTGTTTTTGCGTTAGGGGCGTAGTTGATGATTTAACATAACTATACATGTCACTGCTCTGCCTGCTTAGAGTGCTTTCATACCTTGTCATTACAGTTGATTGCTGCTGATGACCCACTGTCAGGGTGTGTTGGCTGGTCAACAGAGCCCAGCCTACAGGCTGTGAAATAAAAAAAAACACTTGGAGAATCTTCAGGCTGTACCCAGCTGTACGATGGACCGCTAGCTTACTAGAATCAAAAGTGCTGCTTTACATAACCTTCACCAGGCTCGGACTGGTAATCTGTGATACCGGGCATTTGCCCGGTGGGCCGGTCCTAATTTCAGTTTGCAATGGCCGGCACACCTTAATCATAGGTGGCTGAAGCACCTACCTGCGACAGTAAATAACTAAAGGAGCTCAAGGATTAATACAATGTTAACTACCTAAATGATTAGGGGTGGAACGGTTCACAAAATCCACGGTTCAGTTCGGTTCACGGTTTCATGGTGACGGTTTTCGGTT